ATATATATAAAGATATGGTTCCCAGTGATTTTCATGTCTTAATCGAATTGTAATGTATATTGGGTGAACCTATATGAATTATGCATTTGTTTACCTACAAGATTTTCCGCCACCACTCTGAAGTTCCCTCCGGGTTTACTCTCCTCACTCCACAGGAACAACTCACTTGTCCAACCTGCAAAACTAACCGAAAAGATGCTATCCTCACCAAATGCTTCCATGTATTTTGCCTCAATTGCTTGAAGGCACGTTATGAAACTCGCAATCGCAAATGTCCAAAGTGTAACGCGACTTTCGGAGCTAACGACTACCACCGCATCTACCTTTCCTGATCCCGCCTTCGCCACACTTCACCAATCATACTCCAGGCTTCTGCATATTCACTTCACTATACCAACATTAATAGTGCCAATTCCTCCAGCCGCGAAGTTCGCCCCCGGTGGAGAATCCCACATTCTCTTCCCTTCGACTCTTGTCGGTGTTGTTCATTTGTACATAGGTTGTTTCAATTCCTTTTAAATGACTTTCAGTACTGCAGACTTTTTTCGGATGTGGTTCCAGTCGAACCAGCGGTTCTCTCTTCGGATTTCTCAAAAACGCGAAATTATAGGGTAGGACGAAAATTGGAAACAGCAAAGACTCCTTGTAAATGCTCAACGGTTCACCCACGAAAATGACCGATAGAGAATACACCCACTTATTAGCAGATTTTCTAGAGGAAGTTTGAAAATGGAAGGGAATTGCATTGTCTGGTCCTCTCACTGTAGAATGAAGGGAGACGAGTTTAGACCGGACGACAAGGAACTGTTCCGTTTCCAAAAATGCAAGCCTGTTGTTTTCTTGGCGTCTTGTTAGATCTTTCAACCTTGTCACTTCGAACCGGTGGGTTATCCATTCCATTTCGTCAGAAAATCTTACCTTTTTTTTGGAAGAACAGCATCGATCTGTTGGAGTTGTCACGATCCGGACGCGTATAATCCCTCAAACTACCTCCGCGACCATAGCCGTCGATTGGTCAAGAGTTTTAGGAACAATCATCTCGATATCACTCACGGGATTGTGTGACAAATATAGCTAACGGTTAGAATCGTGTCTGGTAGATATACTCAAACGTCCTGTGTGTTCCTTCAGTCGATTTACTGAAAAAATCTATTCTTGAACTAGTTAAAAATAACGAGATACGAGTGCTAGGTGCATGTCTTCAAATTTTTCCTACATGAATAGTTTGAACGCCGTAGCTTATTCCCTTTATCATCAGTCATCACTCCTGTAGAGGGCTGCAGCACACGTTGCCATAAGTCTCCATCGTCATCATCGACAGCATGTTCAACACCGATTTATATATGCAACAAGGGACTTATCGTTTTGGAGGTACAGTTTGATAAATCCTGTTGTAAGTCCGGATGCAGGTTTCGTGTCTTCTTCACTTGGAACAGCCACACGTAGTCCTGGATATCCGTGAGTGAAACGCCGTAAGTCCCAAGCGGCTCTGCTCCGAGCTGGGTGACGTGCGAAACTGCGTTGAGTTGTGCTGTATTGTTGTGGTGTTGTCCTATATGCAGGAACATCTGTGTGTGCGTGGGTGTCAGCACAAGGCTTGCTGTTACCTTATCGGCGGGTAGACCGTCGATGTCAGCTGAGTCACCTTTGTGGGCCGTAAATTGTATGTGTAGTGGCGGCAGGACGAGTCTTGGGAACGAGGGCCTGATTGTGAGCTGTCTAGTCAAATGGGTCGCGGTTGTGTGGAGTGATTTGAGTGCAAGAAAAAAAATAGTCCTCATGGTCCAGCGAGGGACGATGACCTGTACAATCATGTATGTGGCGAATGGGTAGCTACATTGGCCACCTCTCTGTTTACGCCACTCTGAATTGGGCGTGGAAAACAGCACTCTCTTCGGCAAACGATGGTTCGGCATACGCAACACATGTCCCAATCAAAGCAGCTTCAGGTGCCGGGCACATTCTTCAATGAAAGTACTCGTTACACAACCGAAAACGCGCTTTCTGACTGCCTCGTTACGGATTCGCCGACACCAACCCTGAAGACGTCTCAGTTCCGCTGCTCGAATAGGCCAAGTCTCACAGCCATACAACAAAACGGCCCGTACTCTAGCTTGATATACACGTCCCTTGAGATTCAGGGATAAACCATTCTGACGCCATAGGTGTCTCAAGTTAGCAAACGCGGCCCGAGCCTTGCAGATTCGTGCATTCACCTCATCCGCCACACTACAATCAGAACTAATACAACTTCAAAGATACGTAAAACGCTCCACAACTTCCAGTACCTCTCCCTGCATTGCAAGTGGCGTGTTCAGTGACTGCACGTCCACAAGCATGACCTTACACTTTGTGGGTGCAAAGTGCATACCAAAGGACGGGATGACTTTGGTCAGTTCATC